TCAAGAGTCCCTCTGTTGTGTTTGCCACTGTTGTCAGCAGCATAGCTTACAACACAGTTGTAAGCTCTGCACAGACACTTGTGTTTGAAGGATGGATTGCCCTTATTGACTATTGTATCCTGCGCTATAAAAACTAAAATTTGTCAGAACTGGAGTGAGTGTGGGTTCTTGTGCAACTTGTATTTCAGCCCTCATAGCATACAGGAGCACAGTTTAGTACGTTCTAAACACGAGATAGCACCAGTGTGCACCTCAAACCCGCAAAGACAAAAAATCTTTACCTTTGGCCTGGCAACAGAGTGCCATTCGTCACTTTGATACCACGGACTGAGCCTACCGTACTCGTCTGTCCCCGGGGAAAATCGCAATTCTGCGGCCGCGTTTTTTGCGATTTTTTTTAAGACCGCGTTTTCCGCGATTTTTTTACTTTTTTGTTGCACTACACGTACAGACATTAGAGAGGTTCTGCAAAACGAAAATGTGTACGAACTTTCGCTCAACGTCACGAAGTGAGAAACTTCGCACGAACTTTCGCAACTTTGGACGCGAAACTTGCAGGGAACGCGAAATGAACTTTCGTAGGAAGTTTCGTGAGATTGGGTCATGTCGTACGTGCACTTGGCGCGTGCAAACTACGAAAATGTGCAGAACACAAAGTTCGTGCGAAAATTCGTACACACTTTCGCAAGGCCTGTCGCGAAACTTCGTTCGAACTTTCGTTGTGCAGAACCTCTCTAGTATGTCATGTACATGTTTTTCGATTTTGACAGCATGTTACACAGGCGATGCGCCGTTTTGCGAAAAGTCGACGTTTAGAGGTAGTTTTATTATCCCAAATGCCAAAGCGCGGGAAAATTCAAATGCAAACAGCTGCATTTTGGAGACGTATTTTTTATCGACAGTCGGGCAGTCAATGCCAATTTTCTCAAGAAGAAGAGTATTCAGAGGCATTGTTGTGCATTTTCCGTTGATACTATACGTGTGCCCTAGTGTTTGCATGAGCGAGGGTGGTGGTTTTGCAAAACCGTTCGCATGGCGGGCGGGTTTGTAAGAAGAAAGGCTTCAGCCATTGACGAGCGACGAGAAGCCTGTCATTTCGTGCCATTTGAGTTAGCAGTAGCACCGGACAATACTGACACATGTCTGCGGCAGCAAACATAGTGTACTAACGGATCAAAAACAGCCACAATGTGTGTCACTGCGGAAACGGGCTGTAGAGGTGCATTTGCAAAGCTGCTGATTTTCATCGTCTTTCCATGCACAGGGTACGTATCATGCCCTTGGCATAGGCCAAAGCACGAAAGCTTTAGCTGGACACCACCCACAATCTCCACGTGGGTCCCAGTGTACCTGCTGCTGCCGATGAGAACCGCCCTATAAGCGGTTTACCCACCCATGTGTCCTCAATACGACTGAGAATACATCAGAAGTACGCCATAAGCATTGGAAACCTGTACAGTTGAATCCAATTTCGACCAGAATGACTGTATTGGTTGGAAATGCATTGCACCATTCCACTGAAACGTTAACACACAAGAACAGGAAAAGGATGTAACAGAAAACGAAAGAATGTAACACAAAAGATAATCCCAAACCAGCGGAAAAAAAGAACGTGGGAAGAAAAGCACTGTGGCTGGTGTAGGAAGCAAATACTGCAAATACTAGGCTAAACGGGAAGTACCAAATTATGTGGTTGTTGAGCATCTCAGAGTCGACAAAGGGATAACGGAATGAGAGAGACCGACTATTTTTTGTCAAAACTGTCACAAGCCAGCAGCTGGTGATTGTTGAGGAAGGTAGTTACACCACACTGACCGACACCACTGCTGTGGGTAATGATTACGTGCATCGATCATTGTGCAGCACCTGGCAGCAATAAACCAGACAAAGCAGTACAATACCATGCAGAAGATGAAATGCTTGACGGAGTATAAGTAGTAGCAGACAAACTGTTACACAATGGAGCAACATTATTTGCTATTAAAATGGCATAAATATATTATTACTTTGACGAATACCCGACACATAACATTCCCGCTACAAGCATTACTAACTCTACCGTCCCTGATGCAGGAGGGACTAGTAGCACACATTCCTACTGCATACCCCAAAGCTAAGAAAGGTGGCATCATGCTCATGTGAGCCGTTTGGGTACCACCCAAGCTCTGCACCAGGCTCTGTCCAGGTGCAGACACACAACCCTGGAGGACGAATGCAACCCCAAAACACGATGTAGTAAAGGGCAAGTCTATGGCCACAGCTGTCAAAGTTATCCACCAAATTGACCTACAGCAGGCCAATGTACAGTGGAGGAGAGTACCGAGAAACTAAGAATAAAGGACTTATTGCCTGTTTGTCAGACTATCCACCCCAAGCTATGGTCATGAGGGTGGACAATATTGGATGGTGACAATTCCACCTCGCTCTCGTTTTCTCCCCTGGAATGAAGCTTCACACACATACCTGTAGTACCTGTGGTGTCTACAAGTAGTATAAACAGTCCTTCACTTACTCCACTGCTTTCTATAAAAGCCTGTCTTATGCAGAAGCCTGTTCTGAACACAAGCCTGAGTTCCAAGATAGGCAATTAGCACAATAGTGTGGATTTTGCATCGGCAACCATAAAAAGTTTGGTTTGACTACAAACATAATGCAACATAATGTAAATAGAGGCCTAGCCACCACACCGGCTTCTACAGAAATACGCCTGGCTTTCATAAACGACATTACAGTAAGCACTCACCCACTTCAGTTGGTGCTTGCAGACGTGTTAGACACATACAGCCAGTCAAGTACACTTGCAGGGATCTTTTCTCAATGGGGAGTAACGGCTGGCCATAATACCTACAATACATACAGAATGACAATGGTGAACATAGCAAAAGGGAAAGGCATTCAAGACCTGCAGCTCCATGTATACATGCCGAGTGTAAGCGTGGTGTCTGTGGACAAAATCGACAAAGAGGTACCCTGGCAACAAAATGTAGTGCCAGGATGCCAGCAGAAGGCTACGTGGCACACCAGTCCAACATGTAAATCAACTACCATCCAGTTGTCACATTAGAGCCCAATTGTTGAAGTTCCACGGCCATTTGCCTGCCACATGCCAATCACAAGCACTGAGGAAGAAACTGAGACAAAGCGACGTCGAAGCAAAACACTAACACAGACAGGCGGGTTCCCCACACAGTGAAACTTCAGTATAAAGTACTAGTAGTACCAAGAGTCCATGACGTCAAGAGTATGCGACTGCACGTGGGTTCTGGCACTGCGCTCGGCCCACATTACGTATCCACGAACTGGGGAATCAGCCCATAGTCCGCAAATCAGAGTTGCACGCTTGTGGGTTGTGGGGTTGGGTTATGCAGACACCTGACAGTATGGATATACATGTAACATACTACGGGATATAAAGTACTTGTACTATTATGCAGAACCTTGCACCATGCAATACGCTATATCGGTACAGACCAATTATTTGAAAGGTATTGGAGGTTTGCTATACAGTGTACTGAAGTATCACTGCGATGCTGAATTGCCAATACATGTACATACATGTAGTGGAACATGAAGCTGTACAACCAGTTGACGTGTATTTGTGACGAAATCACACTACGACTGCAAGACTCAAAATGTGAACAAACATGTAATTTGATGGGGATCTTTCACCGAGGAGTCAGGTGATGGCGGTGCCGTAAAACCTACACGTGGAATTCAGCTGAACTGGAATTGTTGTCTCTGGAGTATTGCTTAATATAAGCAACAAATCTACTATCAACTACCCACCTCTTCAAGGTAGGGATGGTGAAGAACCAATGACCTAGTCATGGTGTGGGGCTCTGACAAACATCTTGCAGCAGTCAGACAGCCTGTCACAGGCCTGACAAAAGGCTGTGGGTGCAAGTCCTGCTGCAGGATCATACAATGCGAGTGCAAAAAAGCAAATCTGTTATGCAGGCCAGGGCTAAAATGCCACACTTTCAACAACACCTCCGCGAGGGAAGAATCCAACAGTTCCAGTAAGCAAAAAGTTGTTTAATTTGAGGAGACTGAAAAGCAAGAAACCAGCAACGAATTGGACCAAGATTGAGTCAATGTGCACACAGGTGATGCGTGCGTGTTATTGTTTACTGGAATTATGGCGTATATGCTAGAAACATGGAATGCACTACGAATTCTGACCTGAAATACACAAATATACACATTTGCCTGAGTTTCAATGAGCATGGATAGATGTGGAACACAATACTTCCACTGGAAATGGTGATATACCGGGAACACAATCCATCTGCTGCTAGATGGGCGAGAAACTATTGTAACCTGGGATATATTGAAACTTAGGTGTGATGAAATGTCACTTTCGTGGATTTTACACGTATTACAAAAAAATTCTTTCATTTCGTGCCATTTGAGTTAGCAGTAGGTCTGGACATAGACATGACCAAATCTTTACACAGGTTGGTTGGGACTATCTTTCTGCTATCTCGGATATTGTGTAAGATTTGATGGAGTCCATTACTGGCTGAATACCAAAGAAGGGAGGAAATTTCTACGACTGTACTGTAAGAAAACGACGACACGAAACTTCCCAATGGCTCAATAGCTGACCACAAAAATATTACGGATTACTTTAGTACTTACTCAAGTCACATCGAATTCCTTATCGGCGGGCTCCAGGCTGTGAAACGCCTCCAGTGGGTCTGAAAGTTCGACAACGTCAGCCATTACTTCTTCACGGAATCGTCATCTTCACCTCTGCACAAAATGAGCTGACCGGGATAATAAAAAACGGCTTTTTTTCGCTCTGGCGCATCGACTGTACAAGGCGAGGACGTGTCGTGCTACGACTTGCTACGTCATAATTCTCACAGTCACCCACGTGGCTTTTGTGCTGCCGGCATGCCCACGCTTTTTTTTTTTTTTTTTTTTTTTTTTTTTTTTTTTTTTTTTTTTTTTGCGAAAAATTGATTTCTCAGAATCCGGATCCCGGACTATAGTTA